GCTGCCAGCACTGGCATAGCGGACTGTGTGTTTACCACCTCAAGACTCCAGGAATTAAATGGAGGAACGAAGAACAGGATGGGAGAAGGAAAACAGAGAGGAAGAACATAGGCATTCACTCCAGTGTGAGGCGATGGAACAGAAATACTAGACCATCGCTGCAGCACGATAAAAATACAGTCACTGAGTAACGGGCCAGCCTCCAGCTATTCCCAGGGCTCCTACTGAGGACAAGGGATTCTAGGTGCTACAAAACCTCATAAAAGGGTAAATGAAGTGGCTTCCTTTGCAGTCCTGCTATCCAAGCACAGTCCAGCTTCTGGGCTGCCATAGGTCACAGTCACATCACTCAGAAGGCACAGATGTCATCATTACATGAGCAGTCCCTAAGTGGTAGTCACTCTATTAAGAATCAGGGATTGTGGGACAGGCTGAGTGACGGCGGCTGCCTTCAAGGTGGGATATGAAGGTGTACTTCATTTCCACATAAGGTCTTAAAGGTCCCTCTGTCCCACTGGTAGCTGATAAAATGATATGGGCTGTGTATTTTTGTTTGTGAACGATACGTATTTTGACTTTTTCTCCACAGTTACTGCAACTTTAAAACAAAACAAAACAAAAAAGAGTAGAGGGATTTCAAGATGGAAGGGCCTTTGGGAACAATGTATGCTGATGCTCTGGTCACTGCAGGAATGCCATCTGCATCTCTCCAGCCAAGTGGGCACCTGGTCACCCTGAACTGATGGTCTGATGAGGCAGCCCACTGCAAGCTCAGAGAGTGCCCTTAGAAAATCTCTCCTTTCACATTGAGCCAAAAGTTGCCTCGCTGGAACTGCCATGCAGCACTGCCAGGTCTCTTGTCCAAAGATAAATTCCATTCAGCAAGTGAGCTGTCCTGGATGCGGCAGACCTCTCATTCCTGGCCAGCCTTCAGGAAGCCTGACCTGGAGCCCCACTAGAGATGGAGAACTGACTCAGGTCTCCACACAGCCTGCCTCCAGGGCTGACTGTGAAAGGAACAGAATCTTCCACCACCATATTTAGAAACCCTGTGTGTCAGCACTCAAAACAGCACTCCTGTCACTGCCCCCTCCGACCCTCAAATCCCAATCACAAATAAAGGAACAAAGAAGAAATCTGACCCAGGCAGCTAATGGGAGAATAAAATGTGCAGGGAGGCAATACAGGCTTTATATAAACAGCAAAAGCATATTTGGATTTCTATCATCTATAATATTAAACCATCATTTGGGGGTACACTACCAGAGAGAGGTAATTCTAGGCTGCCAGCCAGGTAGCCTGATTTAGAACCATCTCAACGTGTTTAAGGCCAGACTCGTCACTACTAGAGTCTCCTCTCTCCCTACCTCTCCTCTCTTGGGTCCTAGTCAAGATATTAGTGCTGGGTTTTTCCAGAAGAATTGAAAACATCATACCACAGCAATATATGTGCACCCATGTTTACAGCAGCACAATTTGTGATAGTTAAATCTTGGAAACAACCCAAATGCCTGTCAGCCGAAGAATGGATTAAAAAAGATGTGGTAAAAATGTTGTATGTCTGTTAATGTTTCCCTCCTTTTATCCTTAAAATAAAATAAAAATAAATAAATAAATAAATAAATAAAATAAAAAAGATGTGGTACTTTTATACAATGGAGTATTAGTCAGCTATAAAGAAGGATAAATGCGAGGCTTTTATAGGTAAATGGATGCAACTAAAGACCATATTCATAAGTGAAATAAATCAGACTCTCATGTGTAAACATCATATTGACTCCCTAGCGTAAGAAACTGAAAGAGTAAGTAAGATTCAAAAGGTACAAGAGATACTGTGAAAGGGAAAAAAACTGCTCAAAAGGAAAGAACAATTGGGGTTGGGGAAAGGAAAAAAGAAGGAATGGGAAAAATACACACACACACACACACACACACACACAAGACAGCTAAGATAACTGTACTACTAATTTCTATTAGTTCACTGAAAGGAACAGTAAGTGCTTACATTGTTTGATCAATTTTGCATGCATATACCCGGTAAACTGAGCAACTACTTTGAAGATAACAATATGCAGTATGATAACCATTATTAATTTCCTATCATCTTGTTTTGAAATTCTGTATCATTTTTATTTTTGTTCTCTTTAAAATAAAAAAAATATGAAAGTGCTGGAAATCTCAATGGTAATTACCCATCAAGAATTAGCTACTGAACACCTACTATGGATACCTTTCATCCACTTTTGTGACAAGAGTTGCTATTTATGAAACTTAGTTCCTCCTTTTCTTAGATCCAAGTAAGCCATATTGAATTAGGTGTGGTCGGAATACTTCATTCCGAGGAATGGGTGGATGTGACGTGTGCCGCTTCTAGGTCCACAGTGCAGGACCCTACTCTGTCTTTTCCCCCAGCTACATATTGGCACCCAGGAAAATCTTGAAGGCCGTACATGAAAGCTTCCCCTGGATCCCTGAAGGATTCCATGGAGCAGATTCTCCCCAAACTCTTGGTCTATGAGTGATAAATGTAATTCCATTGTATTCAAACCACTTTACATGTATTTGGCAGGTGATTTGTTAGCAACACTATAACTAATCTACTATTTCTCACTCACTTATTCTTTAATAAACCTTTCTCAAACACTTACTCCATTCCATGTATTGAGGGAGGCACCAGGGAAATAAAAGTGACTAGAGAAGGTCACAAAGTCTACATAAACCAGATAATAAAAATTCAACATAAATGATCTCATAGCAGTGTGCATGGCTTAAATTAGTCACAATGGAAAGATGTGAGATTTCATTTGGAGTCCTGGTCTACAACTAAGCTACTTAATCTCTGCATGTGTTAGCATCTTCCAATATTCCACCCTGTCTCACGGTAGTGTCAGGTGGATTAGATTGAATGAAGTCATGTATCTAAACTACCTGGCCAACTATAATGTACTTTGTAATTTTTAATTAAATTCATCATAATTGTCCTAAGCCAAGACCAGCATCCTCATTGGTGTTTCTGCTTAGAATCTAATATATTCTTCATGCTGCTAAAGATACATTTTCTCACACGGAATGCAGATTGGTTATTTCCTTATTCAGAAAGTCTATGACTCCTAAATGCTTAAACAATGAAAGTCAGTTTTTAGCTTAGTAGATGAGATACTCCATCATATGGTCCCCAACTAATTTTAAGTCCATATTAATCTTTCTACAATTCCATGGTTTTCCTCTATTCCACCCACCTCATGTTTTATCAGCACATATTAGTTCTACAAGATACCATTCTTTCTTACCTCCTTGATTTTGTCATTTTCTCTCTCTGGTTTTGTTCTTCCTCCCCATCCCTCCAAGACTGAACTCCCAAGATTTTTCAAGGTCTTTCTCCAACACAACCAGTTCTTTAAATCTTTTCTCTAAAACCCCCTTAAGAATGTCACCCTCCTCTGCATTGTGATAGCATTTCATGTGGTTCTCTTTTCTTCTCTACTAGGCACCTGATTAGAACAGTGACTCTTTGCTTTGAACAGCTGACTCTCTCTAAGGGAAACAGGAGTATTTTGTGAAGGCATGTGACAGCTCAGAGGAAGTATTTAGAAGAGAGTACAATTTCTTGTGATCGGATTAGAAAAAAACAGACAAATTACAAGAGCAGTGGAATTCTCTAGCTAGAGGAAAGAAAAGTCATATGTGTTATATTCTGTATAAAAGCTATCACATAGAACTTGCATGTTGAAAGTCACTCTTATAATAATAAATATAGAATGATATATTTATAATAATAAATATAATCCTATCAGCAAAAGAATAGAACCAGAGTTCAAGGTCATTACTTAAGCTGGGCGTGGTGGTGCACACCTGTAATCCCAACACTTGGGAGGCTGAGGCAGGAGGATCATTGCAAGTTTGAGACCAGCCTGGGCTACAAAGTGATCTCAAGGCTAGCCTGGACTGCATAGCGAGCCCCTGTCTCAAAAAAAAAAAAAGTCAGTAATTAATTTCCCTAGTCTTTCCTTTGTTATAGATTTCAGTACAGGTTTACTTTAGAAATCTGAGAGAAACAAATATGTAAAACTACCTCACTGATACCATCCAAAGTTTGAATGTTAGTATTTTTAAGGAACTGGTATGGGTAGCAAACTTTTCATTTGTTTATAGATAAGAAATAAAGACAATGTATTAATAAAAAAAGTATTTAAGGTGCCTTTCCTATCAACCAAAAGTTTAATTCTACTTTCTTCCTCAGGATTCCAAAAACAAAACTAAACTAGGGAGTGATGCTAAGGACTTGGTATAGCTTCTAATTAGATAAAGGAAGGTGCATTATACAAATATTGAATTCACAAAGTCTATTAGAATATATGCACTGTACTTCAAAACTTAGTAGTGTGTTCTGCCATGTACTCTTAAAACAAACTATGCTACAATGCAAGAAGAGTGCCTTAGGAAATTTTCTCTACTGGACAGAGAAAAATGAACTCATATCAAGTCTATGAGTGCCAGGGGGAGTATGTAAATGGGGGTTTTAAAAAAGATTTTAAAATTGTGAGCCCTTTTAGATAACTTAAATATTTTATCCTGTAAATAATAGCATACAGGATAGTTTACAGCAATAAATACTCTAAACATGAGTCAGAAAATGTTTTCTAGAAACTGTAATAAATTGCATCATTAGAAGAGATGGATCAAAATTTACAGAATTCAGTGCAAATCATTTATTAAGCAAGCAATATGCAAAACTGATATGTGTACACAGAAGTCAAACTAATCATTCAACACTAAGATATTTATAAGATGTGCTACATGAAATAAGGACATTTTCTCAGCAAGCATCAGAGTCATCAAATGAGTAATCCACCAGTTTCCTCATTCTATACATTAAAGCTACAGTAACATTTCAAGGCCGCTTAGTGTAGACTGCAGAGCTCAGAGAACTCAGAGCCTGGTAGATGCCCTGGGGCAACCGAAAGACAGCACAACCCTGGCAGGCCCTGGAGCGCGCTTACCTCCAGAAGTGAAAAGCGAAGAGAGGGCTACAAGGACTGCCTGGGCTGGAGGGGGTTGGACTCAGGCTCCTTGGAGTGAGACTGAAAGTTAAAATAACGTCATTCCAAGTGGGAGAAATGATTGCAGTAAAAATAGCATCTCTCATTTAAGGGATTGCATTCCCTTTAGTCCAGAATCACTATGGCAAGATTATCAATACTACTAGGTAATCATCTAACCATTTGCACCCTTTTCAGCTTTAAAATACAGAATAAGTAAAAGGCTGCCTGCTGAAATTTACATTTTAAAAACTACAGCTGCCATTTTTATTTGAGCCATTTTCTTTGTACAAAGCCACTTGGCAGGTACCTTTGCATGTCATTTTTACATCAAAGAAAATCCAGTGCCATTTTATATTGAGTAAACTCTCCTCCAGATTAAGGATCATTGGCAAATCTGTAGCAGAACTAAAGGGAACTAGTTATCAGACTATGCAAATAAAAATTCAGGTTAAATACTGTAGTTTTTAAAAAGCAAAGCAACAAACATTTTCATATAAAATAGGTATGCTTTTTAAGTATTTTGCAATTCTTCCTTACAACAAAAGCTCAATATCATTCTTTTCCTAATCCTCAGGAGCAATGATTAAAAACAGGCTTCATATGCTTATATTCAAAGTAAATAACTTTAGAAATTCTTTCATGTAACTGTATATTACTCTACTTTCCAGAGCTTCTTTTAAATACAACTACCCATGCATCCTTGTACTAACTCCCCACCCCATACTAATACATCCAAATCACCAAGCGTATTCAGCAGCCAGCTCTCAAATATTCACCACAGGTAGCTGAACAGAGTCTATTTATCATTTTTCTTTGGATTCCATGCTTTTCCTCTGATAGGGAAGTAACAAAACTTAAATTAAATATCTTATAAGAATTTTAGCAATCGATCTATCAAAATATAAACGTGGTACTAGTCAATTTTCAACTATTTTTGTATAATAAAAATCAAACTAAAAATTAGGCATTATGCCATTTCTTAGCCTGAAGTAACAGACACCACTCTTTCTTAAACAACATTCTGCCTTTCTATGGAAAATGCTTTACACCACATCATGTTTCCCCACCTTAGAAAAGGGGGTGTCTTAGGATGGGGGTACACAGCATCTGTTTCAAGCTGGTTGCTTTTATTAGCAAAAATGGTCAAAACAAAATATGGGTTTACAATTGTTTGCAAAGTCTTAGGACTAACCTTATTTCCTTTTATATGGAAAATTGAGAGTTGGCTCTGTCTTAAAATGAAATATAACACTATTGCCCTAAGTACTTTGCTTTATTTACCAAAGCATTTCATAGAGTTTGATAACTCCTACAGCCATTCTCTCGTTTGGTCCCAGCCCTTGGTAAACCAAGGCATTGGTCTTTATATCCGTTCAAAGCACATTTAAAAACTGCTGCTCTTAGCCATCCTCTGCTGGAACTTAGCAGCTCATTGGAAAGCTCTCAGGAATGTCCACTGACACATCGGTCATTTTATCTAAGGACTGTACAGTTTTATCTATCCCTTCTGGCCCTAAGATGGGCATGCTTAGGCACAACACCACTCCTTGTCTCCAAAAGGAATCACACAATGTATACTATGAAGAATTTGTGAAGCAGGGTCTACACTTACACTGCATTAAGAAAGAAAGAACAGCATCCACTTGTTCAGGAACTGGAAAGCCACAGGCTATCCAAAGGTCCTAAATTTCTGTATGGATTAATCACTCACTAATTTCTCAAATAGTTGTTATTGCGCATCTAAGATTTCTGAAACAAGAATCACTGGAAATTGCCTTTTATTGTTGTCATATAAAATATGTTCGTGTGATACTTCATAGGTATATTATGTGTATAATAAACTTTCCTGGAAGAAAAACAGTGATGTCTCATAAAAGAACATCCAAAAGCTATTCTAGACATTTGATTCATAAGTTAGGACCCTTAATAAATAAAGTTATATGTAATAAATCTGCTTCTAGGAAAAATCAGTGATTGGAGTTTTCATTATAACATTTCTGTGCAGTGGTTAGAGGCTGAAACTTCTCAAAGACTAGCCATTTCCATGAATGAATATAAAGTTAGCCACGTCGACTTAAGAGTAATTTTACATTTCAAAGTAAACAAAATACTCAAAGGAATTACATGCTAATACTCAATGACATTTAAGAGTAATCTTGTCTTCTAGTTAAGCTCCTCAGGTGAAAAGAATAGTCTATTTTAAGGCATGGTAACATTTACTAAGGTAAAGGCTAGATGGGGCTGGGGGTGGTGTGATACTAAATCAAACTCCGGAGAACCCCTCTGTTCGGCACTGACAAAGTCAAAATTTGTGGCACACCTCAGTCTTGCAAATTATGCAATGGAACACTTGACACAGATGAGTTTATATCTTAGAAGTTACTTTGAAGTGGGTCTTGTTAACGTGGGCAAGATGCCAAAAATGAAAGACAGGCAGAAGACGCTTAAATAGGAAGTGGTATCTACCAAGTCCTAAGAAAATAACACTATGCAAGCAGCACAACTAAGCTCTAGTGGTAAAAGCCAAGCTGTAGTTACAGCCAGAGCTCTGGATAGCTTTGTGCCTCTTCAGAGTGCTAGGGAGTGGGAGGGAAGCAAGAGAAGGCACACAGACCACTAAAGCATTCCATAGGGACCGTGAGGTGGAGTGGCAGGGTTGGGTGGAAATGGGAACAGTAATTAGAGCAGTGGATAAATACTGTCTGTATCTCTGACAAGTGGCGCATCTAGCAAGAAGCTCGGAAGAGCCCTCTAACTTTTTATAAGGGAGTTCCTCATTTGTATAAAATCAGTGCACAATTTTAGAGCAAGGGCTGATTTTAAAAAGTACTCACTTTAGAACATCATACATTTGTTATTTTATTAATCGAGGCAACAGTTTCTCTTCTATGACGTAGCTAGAGAATTCGAGAGGAAGAATTCATGTCAGAACTGGGCACAATTCTCCCGCAGCCTCTTCCTGGAGATAGCACATCATGAGATTTGGGGGGACAACAGTATAAAGATTTCACGAAAATACAATTTCTTAACTGTGCTGTCAGTGAGAAAAAGGGGTATTTCTATTTTTCTAACAGATTTCTGTTTTACTGTTTATTATCTGCAGTGCCAGCGCAGACCAACTCACAGCTTCTGCATCTTTGACTAACAGATTTAAAATAAAAATTTGCTGACACTTCCCGCCTCACAGATGTCTAACTTCTGTGCCACAAATTAGCTATGGACATTTTCACGGAGCTACATCACACCAGAAGGCAGTGAGATGAGTTAATGGGTTAAAAAAAACACCAGCTAAGCAGATATAGAGCTCAACTAGGTAATAAACACGTTGCATGCCGTGGCTGGAGACTGCAGAGAGGATTCTAAATAGACCCCAGTTCATTAATATTCTGTTGCACTGATAAAACATGGATCACATCTAATGACTGTCACAAATAACCCTTCTCCTGCACTCTCATCCATTGTAATGTTTTCTATTATTCAATGCAGACAGAGGCCTTTCTTTAGAAGCAGGCAGCATAAGGATAAACAAACAGAGAGAAGGAGAAAAAGACAGATACACCATGGCCTACTGATACATTCTTTCACAATGAGCTGTTAAGATGTTTCCAGAACTGAGGTCTAGTAACTTTAAATATGCAGCAGTGCGTTTCCTCCGCCTGCAGCGTAAAATGCTGGGTCCGGGTTTCCACATCAGCTGAAACCAAATGCCATGCATTTAAGACATGTTTCGCCACCTCACACTGCAGCGCTCTGAGGCTGCCAGTACAAACAAATGCTAAAGAGCTATTGGTCGCAGGAAAACGAGTGCCATGCAGAAAGCATTAAAATATTAAAGACAGACAATACTTACTCCAAGGTCAGCCCCGGAATCTGTAGCCTTTCCCGCTGGGCTTTCATGGTTGTTATGTGTTAGCACACTCTATTGTAACCATGACACACGTCCCCTGCCAGCGTCCCGGTGATGACAGAGAGCCAAAAGGAACCTCTCTGAAGGACTGGACTACCAACCTCTCGAGGGGGAGGGGGATACTGCAAGTTTGGGTCCTTCCACCTCTAGCGTAATCAAGAGTCAGCAGCTCTCCTCAGGTTAACGGCAATGCACACTGCACTGATTTCGTGAAGGGAACGAGGCTTGCAGCTCTGCATATCAAGTAATTGGTTTCTCAATTTTTTCTCTTTTTTTTTTAGGAAAGTCGCTCTACTCACAGACCCACTTTTCACCTCGGTGAAATGGTGAGTCCTTTTCAGGGGCGGGGGCAGGGGGCGAAACAAAGCAAAAGTATCATACTTAAAAGAGTTTATCTCCGAAACGATCAACTCTCCCCCACCCTCCTGCGAGACTAAGCAGCAGAATTTGGCCACTCCAAGGAGCTGCGCTTATTTCCCCCCTTGGAGTTAACAAAATCACTCGTGTTCCACAGGAGATGAGGAATGGCTGCCAAGTGAAAATAATTAGATTTTTTTTCTATATATGGCAATCATCAGAAAGGGGACTAAACTAACTATGTAAATTTGGGGGAAGTTGAACTTTGTTCGGAGACATAGATCTGTTGAGCAGGCGAAAACCCTGGGATGGGAAAATACCAACTAGAAACACAAGACACAGGAGCTTGTATTTTTGTTTTCGAACAGCTGATTTTTAAGATCATCTCGGCGCTCCCTACTTTATAAAAGCTATCTAACAGGAACGAGGGAGGAAAGAGGCAGCATATATTCTGAAAGCCTGAAAGTTTCAGCCCGTATTTATTCAAGGACACAGTTTTCCACAGTATTCATAACTTGGAACGCAGAGTACTTCCATTGTCGTGTATGAAGAACGTATCTGACTCACTTCCTCTGATGCATTTTAAAATATTTCAAAATTTGGCAGCTTCTGGTTTGTCAAGAAGAAACGCTAGAACAAATTAGAATTTTATTACGAATCCTAACTTCAAGCACTACAAGGACACACACACACACACAGCCCCAACGGGTGAAAAGGTAATGTTTACATATTTACAATTCAAAGGTATTGAAGTCAAACTGTATTTTTTCACAAATAGAGGGAGGACACACAGTTAATGACAGAGCCAGGATTAGATCCTGGTGTGTTAGCTCCCAGCCCCGGAACCTTGGTGGGCAGGGATACCTAGCGCAAAGGGGCTATGCAAAGGACAGGGAAGCTGAAAACCAGCCGCCTTCTCACTTTTCCAAGCCTGCACTTGGCTCTGGCTGCTTCCACCCTATTTTTCTCTTTTTCATAATCTCCCTCTGTTCTGCGCCCTTCTACAGAGCCGCTGCTAACTCTAAAAGGGGTCCATTGGACAGTACAGGTTTATGTGAATTCCCAGAAGCCTTTGCTTACCTGCCGACTTGCTGTACGATAGCTGTTAAGGCTCACCAGTTACCAACCGTTCCTTGTGTATGGGCTCAAAGAACGAACCAACCCTTCTGACTTTCAGAGGCAATGACCTACTAGAAATATTGTCACCAGCTAGCCATTGCCTTCAGAGGGAGGCAGACAGAGATGTAAAAGAATTGTACTTCAGTATTGAAAAGCACAATAAGATGACAGAATAAAGATACTATGGAACTCAAAGTATGAGGGGTCAACTTAGAAAGGCAGGGAAGATTTGAAAGCAAGAGTGTTAGAAGTCAGGTTATGATAAACACACACACAAACAAAAACTACATCAGCTATTACACCAAAAATAAAGCTACAATCTCAAATTCTTAATCTCTCGAGGGTGACCTCCATCTAAGAAACACAGTAGAATATACTTCAGTAGGCTGCTGAGCACAGACCTTCAGGATGGAAACTGCAGTGCCACACTGCCAATGGACCAGGGGACATTTTCACTTGGGCTTCCTTTTAAGGCCCCTAATTTAACATACGCAAAAGCAAATTCACCATCCCAGCCCCAAGCCTCTGACCCAGATACACACACTGTGTCTCAGCTAGATTAATTTCTTCCTAACTGATCTCCCTGCTTCCTCTGAAGGACACTCTTCACTTTGTGGGCCACATAAATTTCCGAGTGATCTCATCCTGGAATATGCCATCCTTTTGGTCAAAACCTTCCAACCACTTCCCTCTTGCTCATAGTATGAACCAAAAACTTAGCACACTTGGCCCAAAATTGGATAACTGAGTATCAATAAGATTGATAACAATGTACTAAAACATATCAGATGTCTGAAATCCTGAGTTCAAGAACAGAAGCAAGGAAGCCAGCGATGGTCATATTTGGGGGAGATCAGAGAACTATCTCATTAGAAAATTGATAAAGAATCAAGCATTAGGGGCTGGGGATTTAGCTCAGCGGCAAAAGCGCCTTCCTGGCAAGCGCAAGGTTGTGAGTTCGGTTCCCGGTACCAGAGAAAAACCAGAAAAAAAAAAAAAGAATCAAGCATTTACCACAAGGAACTCCATCTCCTACATGGAGACAAGATGTTCCTTATAGGACTATTCCAAGTGGTAAATAGAAAGGATGATAGCTAGAGCATTTCACCACTTTTCACACCCTACTACACCAGCAGGTCTAGGCCATAATCATCCATGACTGCTGACACCACAAAGAAATGGGCACTGGACATTGTGTCTCACAAGGTGACACATGAGTTAGTCTTTCCAAGATGTCACACATCCCTGGATATAACCATGGCTTTACATCAAAATACCAGTTTATAGAAAGTGCAAGACCCAAGAATACATAAAAGAGCATCACAGAAATGTGAATGGCAAAAGTTAGACATGAAAGTCAGAACAGATGAATGGTTTTCTAAAAATTTTCAGTGGAGGAAAAAAAAAGAGATGGAAGAAAACACCTAAAAATTAAACAACAGTAGGCCCTGGATATAGCTCAGTGGCACAAGTGCCTTCCTGGCAAGTGTAAGGTCGTGAGTTTGATTCCCGGTACCAGAAAAAAAAAAAAAAGAAAAAGAAAATTAAAGGACAGTAGACTTAAGATAGAGAAAAATTAACTAACCCACAGGAACTTTCTGTGGGTCATGATATCAAATAAAGTATAAATAAACAATCAGAGAGTTAAAAAAATAATCAATATAAAGTGGATGTCATACATACTCTTACTTTGCACCTTAAAAGAGATATTAATTATATGTGTATGGATATCTGATGAAATTCATTAACTCTTATAATATTAAATAATGAACACCTGTATCTTTTGGAAATGCATACAAAAATATTCAAAGATGAAATAATGTGTAAGTTTTGCTTAAAAATCTGGGGAAGAAAAGTTAAGATTTATAAAATAAAACTGACTGAGAGTTACTATTTATTAAGCCTCGCTGATGAGCAGATAAGGATTCACTGTACTATTCCACTTTAGAATATGTCTGAAATTTTGTCTAACAAAAATTAAACAGTCTCACCAAGCTCCCAAAGCTTCAAATTCACCCCGAATGTCTCTCTCCCTCCAGATCCCTCATTTCCTTCCCATGTGCCAAACACAATCCTGCCTCAGGACCTTTGCACTTACTGTTCTGTTCTGGTTTGGTCCTTAAATACTTCCCAAGGCTCATGTGCTAAAGGCTTGTCAACCCACAGAAGGGCTACTGGAACATGGTAGAAACCCTATGAGCTGGGGCTTAGTGGAAGAAAGTTAGGCCACTGGGCACATGCCCTTAAATGGGATATTAGGATCCTGGCCCCTTCTCTTTCTCTCTCTGTTCCCCCGCTTCCAAGTAGTGAACACTATTGCTCTAACGAGTGCCCCCTCCATGATGCTCTGCCTCAGCAAGGCTCAGAAACAATAAACTCAGCTGGCCATGCAGTGAAATCTTTGAAACCATGAAACTGAACAAACCTTTCTTCTGCTGAGTTCCTCAGATGCTTTGTCACAGAGAGAGAAAGCTGACAAACACATGCTCCCATTTCTCGGAGCTCATCTCTGCTGAGTTGTCCAAGGATCCTGTTCTCGAACTCCCTTTACAACTTTCCTGATCACGCTATCTGGAAATGTAAGACTTCCAAACTCAGTGTTTCTTTCTCTCCACCTTGATGTGGTTTCTCCTTAGCACTTTTCATTGCCTGACCTATTTTACATTTATTCATTACCTGTCTTCCCTAGAAGAGTGTAGGCTCCACAAAAGCACATGCTCACAGAGGAGGAGCCTAAGGTCACACTAGAAGAGTATGATGTGTGTTTGGTGAGCACAGGTAGAGAGGTCATTGACTGACATTATCCAGGATAACGAAGAACACACACACACACACACACACACACACACCCCAAGGCTAAAGTTAAGGAGCCTCCTTTTCTTGTAGGAAAGGTGCACCTACTGCCGTATTGATGCTGACCAAGAGCCAAGGCTGAAGGCTGGCTCTCTCCATGTATTGCCTGTGCTCCCAATCCAGGTTGTGCAATATCTGGAGAGATTTTCGGCTTCCCACCTGTGGCGGGGCAGAGGGACTGATGCCACTGGCATCTAGTAGGTAGAGCCCAGTGCACTGCTATTCATCCTTCAGTACAAGAGATACCCCCATCCCAGAGCAGCCCCCAAAACCCTGCTCCAGAGACAAGGGTCGATTTCTACAGGGCACTGAGCAACAATGGCCAGTTTTAAACATTTTAAAGCAGTTTCATTCTTTCACTCAGATTAGAGAAAGAATAGGACCAGTGTAGGTGCAGACTTTTGTCCTGTTTTCAGGGGGAATGGCTTTTTATAGCTACAGCCCCAGAAGCCTCTTCAAGTCACAGAAACCTAATTACCAAGGTCTCCATGTCATGCACGAACAGAAACCTAGATACGAAATTCTGCAAAGCAAGATGACCCCAAGTACGTGCAAAATAGGCTCCATAGCTGCTCTGAGGCCGGAGTTAGACAGGCTGTCTCCAGAGTGACATCAGGTCCTTATGCCTGAGGCACCGGAGCAGGTGGGATTTGAACCTGAGGGATTTCACCTCTCAGATGAAATCTAAGAGACATCTCTCCCAACCCAGTATTTCTCTTGCCCTCCCTATATTTGGGCTTCTATGGAAATATACAAACAGGAAGCCAAGAGTGAAAGCAACACTCATTTTGCTTGAATATTCAATTATCTATATATTCCTCAAAGGGGAGCATGGCTAGAAACTTTCAGGGAAGGTGGATACGTGTGTTCTCTTCTTTTCCACTTGCATAATCCAGTAAGAGTGACACAAATGTGACATTAGCGTTGTTATTCTCTCAGCAGGTGGTTTCATTATTGAGTAAACTTCTATTGAGCTTTCCATGCTTCCTTCAGGTCCTGATAAGACCAAAAGACACATCTATGAGTCCCGTAGTTGGGGAATTATAAATAAGCACACAAATAAGCACACACTTCTGCCAACAGGTAGCACCATCACAGGACGAGAGTCAGAAAGCAGGGCCTGCAGGACTCAATCATGTGCAAGGGTCCTGGCAGGTGGAAGGTGCAGCTCATGCAGTCAGGAAAAGGGTGCTGTCGAGAGGGGCAGCAACTGCAAGGTTCTGACACTGGGCCCTCGCTGGCTCACATGACAGATGTCAAGAAGCATGTGTGCAATGGACAGTCACTGGCAAATATTCACTGAGCGTGTAAACAATGCATAGTGCAATGGGGAGGTGCAGAGATGAACTGGACACAAGCTTGAGTGTTAAGGACTGCATCGTGGGGGAAAGGGGAAAAGGGGTGCAATCAAAGTTCCGGGGAATCAGGTGCTGTCTCTTCACAGGGCAGGGAACACCAGGCTGTCTGTATGTGTTCATCCACCCAGGACACATATTAAATGCTTCCCATGAGCGAGGCATTAGCAAAACACAATGACAAAGACACAACTCTGTCCGGGAGGAGTAGGAGGACGACAGATCATGACAGAAGGATCTTCTCTCCACCCCCATCCTTCCTACCTTCTCCTGTTCCTCTTACTTCTCCAAGCAACATGAAACCTTTTCTCAGTAGTCACAGGTTTTGCTTTTTGCTGCCATCTG